AGTCAACCATATGGGAGACATGATTGGCTCTTAAGAAAATGAGGTTTGTCTAGAAATCCAGCAAATAAGGTCCATACAGTTTTGTACATCTTCAGTAGATGCAGCCTACTGTGGAATAATGCTACACTTTGCTTCAACCTGGAATAATCTTCATTTTAAACCTTAATTGCAGTTTCCAACATGTCTCAGTGCACAGCTACAAGTTGAGAAGTGCTTGGATGCTTAATCACTTCAACACTACTTGTTAAAGCTTGCTTTTTAGGTGCAGAATCAAGAGGAAAAATATCTGCACCAATTCACAATGGTTTGTCAATAACAGTCACACCTAGAAAGAGAGATGCAAGAAATCAATTCTTTGTATGGGAACATTCCTAAATAATATTGGAAAAGGTTTGTTCACAAATGCTTCATATGCATGTAATACTTGTCATGAGTATCACCTTGCTGAGGGCAGGACACTGAACCTGTAAAAATATAAGCTATCCAAAATCCACCGACTTCTCAACAAAATCTGATTGTGTCAAAATGAAAAAATATGCACTGTGATATCACAATATGCCTTTTGTCATTTATCTCTCTCCTTGCCTGACCACAAGATCAATGGTTCCACAATTATTAACTTATTTTGCACCATATGCTACAACTAGTACTACAACTACTACAACTACATTTAAAAAGTAAAAAGCCTAGCCTGCTAATGTTGCCACCAGACTTCCGTCCATTCCCCAGATACTCAAAATAGTGGTGACGATTATGCTGCTGATGATAAAGCAATTCCTAAGCTGGAAAATATACCAATTTTTCTTTTAGAAGGGAACAGTATTTTCCACATTTATTTTTCAATACCTGCATAACTTCTTCCTGTACTCATACATGATGATCCAACTGTCCATTTATCTGTTGTCGGGTTATAATATTCCACTGTGGCCAAGTTACAGGAGCCGTCATCCCCTCCAATTACATATAAAAGTCCATTCACAGCAGCAACTCCTAATATGAAAAAAGAAATAAAACATTATCACTTGGTTGCTCACTAGCCAGGCAATATTTGCTACCGCAGTTTGGTTTTGGAAGAAAAACTGGAGGACCAAACAACAACTACAACAACGATAGAAATTTATTAAATTTATATTTCACCTCATTCCCAGCACCTTAGGGTGGTTTACAGTTTACAGCACAAAAACAGCACAAAATAACAATGATGACAAAGAAAACTAACCCAGAGGGAACTAGAAAAGAAAGAAAGGGGCATCAACTGTGCTAGCTAAATAATAATCTCTGCTGGGCTGATGATACTTCTTTGATAGCCAAAAATACAAAGGTTCTGGAAGTTTTAGTAATAAAAATCAAGGAGCAAGTAGGAACATTAATCTAAAAATAAATACAAAGATGAAATTATGATAACATGTACAACAAGTACCCTGCCTTAGAATTGAGACTGATAGCTTCCGCCTTTTAAGATCAAAAACCAAAACCAGTAAAAAAACAGACATACAAACAAATGGATCATTGAACAAATTAACTCAGACTTCTCATAAGAGCCATAAATGCCGTATTTTCACCCATATAACCCGCGGGTTATATG